AATAATTTTTAATTTTATTTAAAAAATTATAAATACTTTTCAAAATTCCAGGCAAATTTGTCTGGAATACGGTTTAAAGGATAATATTATATAAAATATTTTAAAATATTTTGAAATATCTTACATAATATTTTATAATTTTGATATTTCACAATATTTCAAAATTTCTTATATAATATTATAGCTTTTTATATTTTGTAAATTATTATAAAATATTACGGTCTTATAAATTTGCTGATATAAGTAATAAATATTTTTTTTAGCATGGAGTTGATATTGTATATTGCATAATATTGTTGTTTTCTTTATAGATTAAAATAGTTCTGTTAAATAGTATACCATATATTACCAAAAATAAGCAACCAAAATTTTTTTGATTTTTCCAGGTAAAATAGAAGGGATAGCTTATTTTCGGGTCCAAAGCTTAGAAAAAAATTTTTTTTTTTTTTTTTTTTTTTCTCATTTTTGACTTTCAAAATTGGGGGTTGCTTATTTTCGGTAATATATAGTATATAGTTTTAGAATTACAAGTAAAGGTAATAAAAAATCAGGTATTACAATAAATAAATTTAAGTTAGATAGTAGCAGATAAAATATATTAGGTTTGGTGATTAACTTGTAGCTAATAAATTAGTTGATTCTTGCTAATAGTAAGTGTTTATTTAATAGCATTATATATCTAGATATCGGTATTAAATAAGATATTTATAGGCTTTGAAATCTTGCTTGGATAAATTCTATATTATCAAGAATAAGGCAATATTAGTATTAGTAATTTAGCTATAAAGAGGTTTGGATGGAGCTAATATACTGTTAGTAGTAGTTTTGTTAGCCTTGTTAAAGATAGTAGTAAGAGAGAAGATATTTTTAACTTGTTTTTTATTATAATAACTATGGATAGAGATGGTAGATTCTGCTAGATGAATAGCAGGGCTGGTGTAATTTGACTAGAGATGTAGATAGTTTGGGTGTAGAGTTAGTAGTATAAAATTGTATAGCAAAGAGTATACTTAGTCTTGTTATACTAATAGTTGTATTTGTATCTATAGATATAACAGGATTCCAAAATATATATAGAATAAGGTTTTACAAAAATTACTAAATATAAAAGGATCTGCAAAAAAGCTAAAAATAAGCAAATTACTTGCTATAAATAGAAATAATCTGCACAAAAAAGATCAAAAATAAGCAAACTAAAACCTAACCTATCTATGTATATTTTAAAGTCCTGGTATAACAGTTGTCTTGACAAAATTTGTATTAAGTAATATTGTTTTACTAATATTTCTATTTGACTTATTATTAGTTTCTATTTTAGTTATATAGTTGTATAGAATATAGGCAAAATTGGCTTTCTGTTTAGTTTTTTGCATATAGTTTTATAGCTTTTTTATATATCTTGATGATTGTTTCGATATTATAGTTGTATATAAATTTAGAAAACTTGATACTAATATTTACAATATTGTTTTTCTGTAAAATTAAATTAATAAGAATTAATTGGCTAGTGTTTTCATACTTGCATATCTATTAGGAGGAGTAATCAACCAAATTGAATATCTTTTCTGATTTTATAATATCAATATTAAACAGAAAGTTGTTGGTATATTTTGAATAGAGAAGCTAATAGTAAAAATGAGTTTGGTTCTGTCTTTGATAGTAATATTAATAAATTTTTTAATGTTTTCTGTTTCTGAAGCTGTAAGCTTAGTTTAGAAATAGGTAGTTTTTATATTTGCCAGAACACCAGACATCTCTAATTTAGATCATATTTGGATTTTGGCCAATTTGGTCTGATTTATTAAAAACTAGAAATTTATAGTTTCCTAAATATTTCAAAATCTAGTAATCAGAATTAAATAAACTTTTTTTAAATATTGCACTTTATTGAGGGCTTTTATTTAAAAAAATTTATCTAAATTGGACTACTGGTTGCTAAGATATTTACAAAAAACTGTTTTTTTTTTATTCTCCAAATTTGGAAGGGTTTTGCTAGAAAGTTCAAATATAAAGTAGCCGATATGGAAGAAGGCAACAGTTGCATTACGCAAATACAAAGTGAGATTCACACCCGAACCCTCCAACCCAGGCAGAATCCTGCTGTTTGTGGTATCATAAAAGCTTCTTGTCAAAAGTCAGCCTGTGTTATACAGTGTGGGAAACCACCAACTGTTGCTACACATCTCAAATTCAGCTGATGATGGTGAACCTGGTGCAATAATAGTTGCTATTTCTGGGAGCATGTCTTGTCTCAGTCTGTACATCAATTGCACTAATGTATACTGCGCATTCTCAAATAAAATCATTTAATAAAGTTTAATGTCTGGCATTAATAGCCAGGTGCATCTAATTAATTATATATCACATGCGTGCAATGCTTTTCGATATATTGTTTATATAGAGATTTTATATAATCATTGATGTGTTTTTTAATGATACCTCACCATCTACTAGGCTTATTTTGATAATTTAACTACTATTAGATGTGAGTTGACAAACTCTACAACTTTTAATTAATTAACTGGGACCGTCTAAAGCCAGGTGCGTTCATGTGACAAACAGCCAATCAAAATATAAATCTTGAAGCACTAATAAAAAGTGTCGGGAAGACAATTTTACCTATAAGAACTCCTCCAACCCTAACCTCTTACTAACCCTTACCTAATTTTAATTAAATAATCAAAAACATATAAACGCACCTGGCTTTAGCCATCCCCTATAAATGTCTCTGATTGACTGGCAAATCACCAATTAAGACATAAAACACTTTGAACATTTAGACATTTTTGGATATACGATAAAAAAAAACTTAAAAAACTTAAACACAAACAAAAGAAGCTTCAGTTAACCAAGAGATATAATGCTGCCTTAACTTACTTGCTTAAACTTGTTTTTTTTTTTTTTTGAATCATATATTAATACGGTATTCCTTCTACCAATACTTAATTTATAATTGATTTAAAAAGGAAAAAAAAGTAATCACGCTACAATGTGAATGTCGCAATTGAAAATAACTTTAAAAACTAGAAAAATCGGATTTATAACATGATATGGCCGAATTAGCAACATTTGCTATTAAAAAAACGAGTTTTAAGGTTATGATAATTATTTTTAAGAGATGCGTTTAATCCGTAGTTTTGGATCACGATCCGTGGTGTCTCTTTTTGATTGGTCAAAAATCATGTGAATGTACTACATTTTTTTGAAATTCTACCTAGCCTAAACCTACTTTGGTGAATTACCGAAATTTGCTCTAATCTAAAGTGACCCTAGCCCTAAAGTCAACGAAGTAAAATATTAATTAAATATTAATTTATATAAATTGCCTCCATTTTAAACGTCCTCCACGAAAAGGAGTCGGAAAATTCTTGGCTAAGAGCGACAATCAAAAATTTAGGCCAGAACGGAAATTCTACTGAGTGACACTATATTATACAAAAACTGTTATACAGACTCATTGGCAGGATTGTATATTTTTTGATGTCCACCAAGAATGTCTAATTATAGAGTTCAAAAGAATATATAAGATATATAGGTGCTAAACAATGAGTTGTCAAACATGTCCAAGATTTTATGAACCCGCCTGATATATATAAATTATATATATAGTAAACACATATCGATATCTGATATATGCTGATACATTGCATAAATCCTGTATTTTTTTATACGTAATATATATATATCGGGTTAATCAATAAATAACGATAAAAACATACTGTACCGATACGTATCTTTAAAAAAATAAAGAACGTGATCCCGTTAAATTGAATAAAAAAATGATACGTCCTCTATGTAGATTTTTGCAAATTTTTCTTGGAATCTATTTGTTATGTAATAGTATATTTGGAAGATGGACAATCTTAAGCGTTAAGTCGATGAATTATGGTGACGAAAATATTTTGAGATCAATTGAATTTGATCGTACTAATATTCCGAAAAACATTCTTGTCGGATCTTATTATGGTGGTAATTGATTCTCATTTACTAAGAATTTTTTATATAAACTTTTTCTTGATCGGTAATAATTGTGGGAAATGATACTTGAAAATTGGATGATGCTGAAATTTGAACTTATTTTATTATGAAAGTTGAAATTTTTTTTGCTTTTTTTTATGGTTGGATAAAGATTTAGAGTTAAGGTTTATAATTAAAGAGTATATAGGTTTTAGTAGGATTTTATAAACAGACCCCAAATTTCAGCTTCACTCGATTTCAGCATCATCCCCGGCAATAATTAATATTTTTTATTTTTTCCTGCTTAATAAGGAATAAGCCATCTTCGTCCACCTTTAGAAATTTGTAAGATCTTAATCCAACGTGGATATAATGTATGAAAATTATTACTCGTATTTTTATCTTATTTAATAACATTTGATATAAGTTAATATGTTTAAATTTTAGGTAGCATTAGTAGCACCCGGAAATTTTACATCATATTATCAAAATATTAAATTTTTTTCAACTGGTGTAAGAAATACTACACTGGATAAGCGCGATATTTATGATCAAGTATTCAAGGAAGATTATACATTTTATGAAACATTTTCACTTACGCGTGAATTTATGAATGAAGATTATTTATGGTTATTTGAAATTTATATGAAGGCTGCATCAGAATTTAAACCGGATTTATTTTTCTGTGATGATGGAACCAATGAAGTTTGCTTTGACGCGGCTTGGAAATTGAAAAAACCTAGTATTGCAATTTGTACCTGGTTTATTTGTAAGTATTGATTATATTAGCATATTATTTTACCATCATCCCTTTGATCTAATTTTTAAATCGAAATTTTTTAAAGTTAGATTGTATACACCATATAGATCCGATCCATCACTTGGATGCCATGTGAATATGGAAAATGAATCTTTTATTGAAAGATTTCGATGTGCTGTTATCGCTCCTATACATTATACTTATGTAACGAGAAAATATACAAATGATTTGAACAAATTGCGTGCAACTGTAGGTGTTGCACCTACATCAAATTATAATGATAGAATGAGAGATTCTTTATATTTTTCTGACTCATTTTTCGGATTTGATGTAAGTCTCGGAAATAAATAAATAGATATATTTGAATATTTTTAACAATTTAACATTTCTTGAAATTCTAGGTACCAATTTATCTGCCTCCTCTTGTTCAAGTAAGAATTTACATATTGTATAATTCATTTAATAAACGAACCATGTATAATCTAAAAATTTATCATAATATCACAATATCACTAGGAAGTTGGACCCATAATGCAAGATAAATATGAACCGATTACACCAGAACTTTCTTTATTCCTCGAAAAACATAAGAAAACATTGCTTGTTTCTCTTGGTACTACTGTATATACCACCCCAAAAAATAATGCAATTCTTCTTCAATCCTTTATCGAAGCAATCAATCGTAAAGTAATCGATGGTATTATCTGGTCATTTGGTCAAACCCTTTATAATACTTTTCCTTCTGAAATAATTTTATCAGATGAAACTATCATATCTGTTAATGAAATTTTAAATAATCGAAATCCAAACATTTATATTGCTCCTCACATACCACAATTTGAACTTTTAAATCATACAAATGTTAAAGCATTTTTATCTCATGCCGGTAAAGCAAGTTCAAATGAAGCTTTATACACTGCAACTCCTGTATTATCATTACCAATAGCTTTTGATCAAATGGGAAATGCTGAAGCTTTGGAAGCATCAGGTGTAGCATTAACTTTATCAAAGCATAATCTTCAAGTTGAGGATATAATTTCGAAAATTGAAAATTTGTTAAGTGATGATAGGTTTAAACGTAATGCTAGAAGAATGCAAGTATTAGCAAAGATTAATAGTAAGAGAAAGTATAGGGCTGCGGATATGATCGAATACCTTTTATTGGCATCTCAATCAGAAAGTGAAGATTCGTTGTTATCAGATAATAATAGGGGTATTAATGAAGGTAATATTGGTTTAAGTGAATTTACAAATTCACATTTGAAAGAATTAATCACTCCAGATATTAGAATGGGATTCATCCGAGGCCAATATCTTGATATATTTGGAACATTGTTAGGAGTTATTTTGATCATTTTGAGTGCTGTCATCTTTCTTGTTTGGTCCGTCGTTAGAATTTGCGTAAACATTGTGAATAGAGTAAGATTTTGGATTATACAAAAGATCAAGAAAGAATAATGTACAATTATTTGTGACAGATTGTTTTTTACTTCTCTGGGGCTAGGAGATATTATTACCCAAGAAAATAAATAAATTTTTTTAGGTGGAATGCAATACTTATTATAATGATCATAGCTTTTTTTGCCTTGACATTTTTATACATAAAACATTACACGAACAAATATTTACAGTATTGAAAACAAATAATTCATTGTTAAAATTTTTACACGTTTTATATAAAATTTTTATGTAAATACTATAATAAAAATACTTAAAAGATCTGAAATAAAGTATACAGTTATTAAAGGGAATTAATATTTCCATACCGTAAAAGCGCGAAATAACGCTCAGGGGCGTTAATTTGAAAATTAGATATCCCTAAAATAGTATATGTAGCTTCAGATTAGCGCCCATGGGCGTCTCGAATTAACGCATATCCCTATAAAAAATATAAAAAAAAAAAACAAAAAAATGATGAATAAAATAAAATGTGTTCCGGAACTTGGTTGGTATCAAGTAACCCTGTTTTTCAGGTATAGTCTAACTGTAGTAAAACACCAAAAACGGTTCAATAGTTCGCCAGCAATGGCTCTTCGAATTTGACTATGTTTGTTTACCTTTGTGCAAACAAACGTTCTGTTCATCAGCAAAGTTATTTTTTTATAAATGATATATAAAATTTTTATTTAGATTTACAAACCCAATGCAGACTTACATAGTTAGAATTTTTATGTATGACTTAATATAATATTTATATATCTATATAAAATAAATTAATTTACTTTGGCTATTTCTCAAAAATGACTAAGGTAAATCAGTGTTCGATATACTAAGTTAAAATGTCCAGCAGGCCAGAAAACGCACCCAAAACCCCTAGTTTAAGCTTTAAACCTATTTCTAGCTTTAATATTTAAGTTGAAATTTTACATAATTCTACATATATAGATATATATATATTTATATAAATAGCCATGTAAATCTACATTGGGTTTATAAAGCTACATAAAAACTTTACATAACTCTACATGGAAATTCTACGTAACTCTACATAAAAACAACTTCGTGATGTTGCAAAACTTTGAAGAGCCATTGCGGGTGAACTATTTGACCGTTTTAATCGTTAGAAACGTCTAAATATGAAGAACAACTTTTTGATAATGGCAAAAAAATGTTTACATAATGCCAAACTAAATCCCGGAGCACCTTCTAATTATTATTATTATAAATAAATACTATTTATATGTTTAAAGGTGCGAATTCAACCTTTATTTCGAAATAACGCACATGCGCGTATTCAATATAGCGTGCAGGCCAATTAATTAACGCGTAGATGGACGTTATTTCGCGCTTGTACGGTATCTTCATGTAGATTACAGTATTTTGAAAATTTTGAATGAAGATATTCCAACAATTACATTTGAAAATTTTTTTTAGCGCAAATTTGCAAAATTTTTTAAATAAAAAATTTACAACATTTGCGCAAATTTTCAAACCTGGTGGCTTTTTTCACAGAAAATAAATACAATTCTGCACAAATAGAAATCTGATAAACTTTTTTTTTATTTAAAATTTATGGATTAATAAAATTAAAATGTAAAAAAAATTCATCAAATTTTATCAGGTGTTTGTCAAAGTTATAAAAAATTTTGGTGTAGCTTATAGTTTAATAGATATTGTATTTAAAGATATTTTAACAATATCTTATTTTTTTATTTGAAATTAAAGAATGCTTAACATTTATTAAGAGATAACTTTTTTGGCATTCTTCAAAAAAATTTAACCCCCCTTTGTCCAAGTATTAACTAATAATAGATAATAAAACCTATATATTTAAATAGTAATATTGGATTATTTTCTGAATTGTTAATTTAGGTTAGCATTAGTATTAAAAGACATATTTCAAAGACTTTTCTATCTTTAAAACAAGGAACTTTCTATAATATCAGTACAATGATTATGCACTATTACAGTTTACAAGAAATAAAAATATTCTTTTTAGGTTTTTTAAGTATCCGAGAACTTCATTGATAAATGTGTGATAAAACCAACAAGAGGATACATTCTAAACGAAAAAATAGTTCATTTTAAAGTTTAAGAGTCTTTTCAAGAGTATTTTCAAAGAGTATTTTCACATTGGAATTCTTTTCAACAATATAATTCTAAAGTCAGGTTTTACCTTTATTTTAAAAAGTTTTACACATGACATCGGGAAATTTTTTTTATTGCAGTTCTGCACAGATTTGCAAAAAAATTATTAAACAATAAATCAAATGAAAATCTGTGCAAAACTTCAAATTTGATACTATAAATGCAGAAATTAGATGTAGTTCTGTGTAAAACTTCAAATTCTAAAAGAATTTCGCTGATTTTTTACAACAATCCTTCAAAATCTGCAAAAATGCAGATTTTTGCAAATTTGCACTTATTTAAGTTTCCCGATGGATCTTAAAATGAATACAATATCGATATAAATTTTTACACACCACACACATGATAACAAGTATAATGTATATTCATGAGGGCAAGACTCAAATATCAAATGGGCACCTTTAACAAATTATTTTTTCAAAAAATTTTTTTATTTGATTTTTGGATAAATATACACTCAATAAAAGTTTACTACAGTACTATAGTCAAAACATCACATTCCTAATTCTCGGTGATATGAAGCTTTCGATTCCTGGTGAAGTTGTTTTTGGACAAAATGAATCTCATAACTTCTTAATGACCATTATACACCATCAGAACAGACTCAATTTGATATGGTGAGTGGTATTCATTTTAGTGGACTTGACGATTATTTATTAAGAATGTTCTATTTATCAAACGGATGTTCATTTAATAGGAAGTTAAGAAACTTTTGAAGGAAATGCATAAACACTTGTTACAACTTCAAATTCTTTTTCAACAATCCGACGTCAGATTTCACATAAAATAAGTAACATATTTATTTCGAAAGAAGCGATGTATGTACAATTTTTTTTTTTAATGCACGTACTTATTTAAATAATCGCTTACTGGTGAATGTTTATTAAAAAAAAGCCAATTTTATCACCGGTTAAGCCTATTTAATTTTGAAAAAATGGGATTATTCAACCATTTACAGCTAATGGAATTAATGAACTATGGTCAATAATTTTAATAGCACTCATTATGTCAAATGAGTAAACTGGCTTGCTCAATATTCTTTTGTTCAAATAAATTTTACAAAATATCAATAGAATCTACAACTACATGATGTCAATTAATAATAATTATAAAATTCATGATCATTGTAGCTTTCCATTATTTATAATCATAATAGTATATATTACAGTAACTTTAAATATGTACGTTTAACCGTTAAACATGGTTTTGGTTTATCAAATACAGTTTTAAATACAGTCACTTTTTAATAGATCAAACATCATCAATAAAGCGTGATAATTATTGAAAAGAATGAACTCAAATAATGAATTCAAATTAAATTTGTTATTACGAAAAACTTTATTGATTATAAATCTTCAGATAGTAATCTTTATTTTTCTTTCTTTAGCTGTCACAACCACCATTGGTCTATATTATTAATTAAACAATATCGATATTACATGCGTATATCTATATCCAACTGTATTTATAACCTATTTAACGAGTTAACTTCTACATAATATTAATTAATATAACGTTAAAATTATTCATTAAAAATATTTTATTTAAATACGATAGAGAATCAGTTTATCGAGTTTTTTTGCATTCAGTAATTATATATGCCATCGTTGTACATTTTGGATGTCCGGGTTTTTCGAACTGTTCACTGGATAGTTCGACTTTCATTTCAAAATTGCACAAAATTAATTCTGAACAACTTTAATTAATATCTTAAAACAGGTCATTATAATAAAATTTTGTGTTATTTTTGTGTTAAATTCTATTTGAATGTTATCTCAGTTGTCGAGCAATTAAATTGCATATATATAGCTAATATTATTACAGTAGCAATAAATAGGTTAGGATCTTTTTGTTTACATAAAGAATAAAACTAGAAAGATCTAATTGTAACTAATGAAAATGGAAAGATTAGTATGCAAATAAGAGTCATTACAAGCTAGAGCTTACTAGTTTTTATTCAAATAATTTAGATAAGCAAAAAATATATTATTATTAGATGTGAAGCAGCTAATAAGCTATATGTGAAGTACCGTAAATCGCCGGATACAAGACCCGGGTCTCTTACATTTCACCAATTTTAAATCCTATAATAGACCCGGGTCTAGTACGTATGCAGCCGAGAGTTCATGTCGTTAAGAGGAAAATTTTGAAGAGTATGCATGTTTCGCAGTTATAATAGACAATCCAGATATTTGAAAAAACCCATGTTTGATTAATATAGATCTCATGATACGCATCCGGGTATACTACATGGTGGGTCTACTATCATGGGGGATCTTATATCCGGCGATTTACGGTAGCCAATGACATAAGTTTCACACGATGAATAGTATATAGGAAGCAGCCAATAACGGTGAATTTGATATGTTAGCCTCTGGGCCCGAAGTATCAAATTCGCTGCCAGATAAACAAGTTATTGGCTGTGTTGCATGCAATAACGGAGTTATCCGGCAGCTTACGACGATTGTGCTTGCCAAATAACTTCGCTATTTGGCAGCTTACATAATCACTACGAGTCATTTGGCGTCGTAAGCCACCGGATAACACCGTTATTGTATGCTACGCAGCCAATAACTTGTTTATCTGGCAGCGAATTTGATACTTCGGGCCCAGAGGCTGACATATCAAATTCACAGCCAGATAATGAATTATTTTACAAATAATATATAGTTATTGGATGCAAAGCAGCCAATAACTATATATTACCCCGAATATTGATATGTTAAAATTACCAAATAACGATCGTATATGTGATCAATTACGTAAGATCACAATTCTTCAGGACAATCTCGAGCACTCATAATCGATATCGATCGGTAGGGTTCTGCAAGTGCCATGCGTGCCAGCACCATTTTTAATAGTTCGTGCCAGGACTCCATATAATTCT